GAGAGAGAGAGAGAGAGAGAGAGAGAGAGAGAGAGAGAGAGTTTTCAACCTCAGACTCAAAACAAAGATCAATAGCTAGAAGTCTGCTGAGCCAATGGCCCCAGGTGAGCTAGCGACAATAAACAATGCAGTGTCAATCCCATGTCTACCATGGTCAGCTGCAGCTTTATGCTCCTGGGAATGCTGCAATGAGAATAACAGTTCCCAGATCTACTGTGGTGGGGGGCAAAAAGGCTGGTATGTGCATCAGTGACTCCATCATCCATCATTGGTTGAGTACTGGCCATGGAGCCCTCACTCTCTGGCTTTCACTCTTACCCTGTATTTTGGAAAAGCTACTCTGACAGCAGAGCAAGAAAAGGTGGAGCAAGCATCATGGATGGCATAGCAACGAACTTCAAGTCGTTATGAGCAGACCATCAGCATGGGGACCCCTGTGTCAAGTCCTCAGTTAACCATGAAAGGAAGTCAAGGATGAATTTCCTCTCTTGGTCCTCCTGCCTTCACCTCATATTGCTGAGATTAGAGGTGTGCACCACCATGCCTGGTTCAAACTCAGGGCAGCTGGGCAAGTACTCTACTAGGTTGTCTACATCCTCACCCCCATTTTGTTTCACTGAAACAGGATCTTAGGTTTCTCAAGTTGGCTTTGAACTCCCTATGCAACTGTGATTGGCCTTGAACTCCTGATCTTCCAGTCTCTATCTGCCAACTACTGGGATAGCAAGCTTGTGCTAGACACAGCAACACCATTCTTTTGTTGCTGTCCTTGTTACCATGTTGACTACACAGCCATGCATTTCAGATGTAACTGTTACACAGTGATGAACTTACCAGCTTGGATACCTTCAGGGACTTTGTGAAACAATGCCCTCCATCCTTGATCTCTCACAATTGGTGCTAAATATGAAACAGGAAAGTCTTGGGTGTGGTAAGACACTGTTTTGTGATACTTCCTGGGAAGATGTGAAGAAATGGCTACTCACTTTAGATAGGGAACTGAAGAAAGACCAAAGTATGGACACCACCCAAGTCTAACTTGGTGAACCAGTTGAGTTTATTGGGGTGACTTACAGGAGTGTTGTGAAGGATTACTGGAGAGAGTAGAAATGACTTAAAGGCAACTGAATAACAAAAACCAACCCCTGTGTGGATGATAGCTCATGAAAACTGGAGACCGGAAGCTCACTGCCAGCCTGAAGACAGCTCAGAAGATTGGAGTGTCTTTTCCAGCAGTTGGGTTGGTCAGAGCCTCCCTAGGCAGCTCAGCTGGTCTCTGCTTCTTCCAGGCAGCTCAGCTCCTCTGAGAGTCTTTCTACAGTCCTTACTACTTACACATAGCTGGGGAGGGAGGATCCATGTATCCAGTCAGTTTCAGGGACTTTGTGAAGCCTTTAAGTTGTTTACTTTCTGAGGTTGATGAACCTCCCTGTGTAATGGAATGTTTCGCCTCCTCTTAGAATTTTGTGTTGTTTAACCTGCTTTCAAACATTCTGGTTCTCAAGGAACTGATCTGCAAAGATGTAAGGTTCTATGTAGAAAACTTCTGCATAGCATTTTCTTCCTTCAAGGCTGCTGGGATGTGGGCACCAGTATGGGCTACTATGGCCAAACCCCAGATGCTGTGGGATGTCTTTCTGTATGCTATGAATATGTGTTGATCTGATTGGTAGATCAAATAAAGCTGTTTGGCCAATCGTGAGGTAGAACAAGTTTAGGTAGTACATTCCAACTGGAGATAGAAAAGAAGAAAGGAGAGTGGAAAGATGTCAGGCTCCTGCTGAAGGAACAACAAGATGTCAGCAGACCGGTAATGCCAGGACCACATGGCAAAATATAGATTTATAGAAATGGGTTAATTTAAGATGAGAGAGTTAGCTAGCAAAAAGTTGAAGCCATAGGCCATATACTCTGTAATTAATATAAACCTCTGAGTGATTATTTTGTAAGTGTCTGTGGGACCACAGGTGGGAGAGATTCATCTGGACTGCTAGGCAAGGCAGGACTGGAGAAAATCCCATCTACATTTGGTGCCCAAACATGATGGCAAGAATTTCCACCTAAAACCTGACAGAACATAGTAAAACAGAGATAGAGCAGTTTCCTAGTTCATATGTCTCATGGGGATTGCCATACAGAGATGCCGCTGTACAGAGACACTCTGACATTTGAGCTTGAGCACAGCATTGGCAGATTCCTGCCATGTTACACAGAGGCATCTCTAAGCCTTGCAGGGCATTGCATGGTGGATTTAGCTTTTGCTAGTACAGACATAAATAGATAGATATGTAGATAGATAGATAGATAGATAGATAGATAGATAGATAGATAGATAGATAATAGATAGATAGATAGATAGATAGATAGATAGATAGATAGATAGATAGATAGATAGATAGATAAAGTTTCTGGGCTGCACACAGCTTGATGGAGGTGTAGACCCACTGCTTCCCAGAATTGGTGCTAAGCATGGCTCCCAGAGCTGGTGGTAAACTTACCACTGCCATGTTAGAAAGCCGAATGGGGTGGAGTTAACAGCTCCACAGCTTAACAGTTTAAAATCTCTCCTGACTAGAAAAGGCTTGTAGATATACAATAAGACAGATTCAGATGGAATAAAACTCTAAACAGTTTATATTGTGTGTAAACGGTATGTAGGCTTGAGAGAAAAGAGAAAGGATATAGGTAGTCATAAAAATAAAATAAAGTCTTAAAAATAAAATAATATATGAAAATATAATAAGCCACATAAAGATGGAAATTATACAAAGAGTCTGGATTATGTTGTCTTTGGGATTTTTAACTGGAGAGAAACATTTGATTGTAAAGGCTGATGAGCTAAACCAATATATATATTTTAAAGTTATCTTGACTTTAAAATTTGGGTCCAAGGATATGTTGGTTTGGAAAGAAAGTTCTGCTTTTGTTTCCACAGGAAGCAAGAGGCTGTGGATTTGTTCCAGGTTAAGATGGATCAGATTTGATCAAGGAAGACCTCTTGAACCTTGACAGATGGTATCTATTAGCAAAGGTTGTACCTGGTCTTCCCAGGACTTGACCATTATCTTGACTTTTCTCAGGATCTCCATAAGATTAACCATGCCCCCAATCATCAGGATGTAGTCTAGAGGACTATGCCCACATCCACCACCCAAAATGGATTATGTATGTTTGTCTTTGTTTAGGGGTTTGCTTACAAATTGTTACTGGTCATAGTCAATCTTTTTCTAAAAAAAAGAAAGGGAGATATGATAGAGAAATGTAGGCTATAGGTATGATAGGATGAAAGGGTAGATTATTGAATCTACTTTTAAAGAGCAACAACTTGTTTGAAATACTTTACATTGCTATGGATTTTAGTTTATTGATACAAATTTAAAGTTAATTTTGTTATACTGTATATATATTTCTACTCTTGTTTAAGGTATTATGTTTATGCAAGTTACTTAAAATTGTAATACATAATTAAGAAATACAGATTAATAATTAGTCATCTATGATAATCATACTTATAGTCATGTTAGTTAAGTTTTCTATGTATACAAATATATACTTCAGTTAGGTAGGTAATCTTCAAACCCTTCAAAGACCTATAGAATATGGCATTTAAAATGTTTTAAGAACTTTGACTTTTCTGGACACTGAGACATGTCTGCTCCTGGCAGCACCAACCTACTTCAGAGAAAATGATAGGCACTGAAGAAACTCCATATGAAGTTTATCTTCTTGGTAAAACTGGACATTTGGGAAAGAAACTACTCTTGCCTGGATTGCTTAGACTGGACATGCAGAACCCATGGAAAAATGACCACTGAACTTTGCCTAAACAGGGTGACATGGTCCTTCAGTTTCCTGCTTCACAGAAGATATTGCCAGGCATTCTGCAGGACACAGACAGAAGAGACTAATGAACTTTGCCAATAGGTGAGACAATCCTTAAAATTTCCTGCTTCACTGAAAGTTATGCCAGAGACTCTAGGCCTATAGGATGAATATAGTTGTCTCAATGTTAGAGAGGAACTTTGGATGACTGTCCAAGCAACCAGATGTCTCTGTCACTTCTAGAATTATGGAAGTTCCTTGCAATGCATTTCCTGTTTACTTAGGTAATATTGTTCATTCTCAGGTCTTTGATGGAGTTGAAGACTAGATAGTTGTAATTATAGCTTTCATTAGTCATGATAAAAAATAAATTAGATATAAAACTTTAGACTCACAAAAATAGGATAGATGGTAGCAAATTTTCTAATTTTGCCAAATATAAATAGACTAGATATTGTAACTATAATTCTTCCCTGATAACTGTTTTGTTATATGTAATTTTACTATAGTATAGTTGAAACCTTCCTTTTTGATTAGACAGAAAAGGGAAGTACTATGGGATATCTTTCTGTATGCTGTGAATATGTGTTGCTCTGATTGGTTGATTAAATAAAGCTGTTTGGTCAATGGTGAAGCAGAATAAGGTTAGGTGGTACATTCAAACTGGAGAGAGAGGAGAAGAAAAGAGAGTGGAGAGATGCTAGGCAGCATCTGAAGGAGCAACAAGATATGTAAGTGCCAGAAAGCCAAGTGACAATGCATACATTAATAGAAATGGGCTGAGTTAAGTTATAAGAACTAGCTAACAAGAAGCCTGACCCATAGGCCATACAGTTTGTAAATTATATAAGCTTCTGTGTGTCTACCTGGGAACAAGTGGCTACAGGATGCGGGTGGGAGAGATTCATCCCAACCATGGACTGGGCAGGATACAAGAAATCTTCCAACTACTCCCAGAAGTATAGATTTTAGTTCAACTCACCCTCATCCAGTCATTGCTAAATTTCTACTCATTGTTGGATATAATCCTGAAGATGTTTATATTTTTCAGTCACTGAATTCTGAAGATAATTTCATCAAATGGGAAGCAAGATTCCACTTTTGAATATAAGAAAACAGAGCATCAGAAAAAATTGAGTTACCTACACAGCATATCTAGAAGCTGAGAGTCTGGCAATAAGAGACAACTCTAGCAGAGGGCAGTGTACTGTGAACTCTGCCCCAACTTGACCACAGAAGAAAACTTCCAACTTGAACACGAGCCTCTCATGAGCAATGGATCTTCTGGTACCTCATATCAATTATAATACACTGAGAAACACTGAGAAATGTTCTCATCTCAGAAAAAGGCACATGGCCTAATCACATGACCATGTCCTTCCTTCTAGTCCTTGGTCCCTACTTCTTATTTTCTTTGTGGAATAACTTACTAGGGATTGTGGCAGCATTTACTGAGGAAGCGGCAAAGGCTTTTCCCATCTACTTTGCAACTCTTCACTGTTTCACTTATTAAAGTTAGCTTAGTTCACTCCAGAGCATGCAAAAAGAAAGCTCTTGGAGAGATGGCTGGACCACAGACAGCCATGTCCATTGACTCTGCTCCTGTTACCATAGCATGGCCACAGACTGAATTATCCTGATCCCAGGAACCAGGTTCTTCTGATACTGGTCCAGAGACACACTCCAAGTAGACACCATATAAAACTTATCCTCTGCTTAATAACACTGATTTGCCTTCAGGTGACTATTGTGGTCTTAATCTTTGTATCACGATTAGTCACTTGAACTCTCCTTCATTTTCAATATTAATGTGATGTCTATTTGTGAACTTTTCCCCCCACCAGGTCCATCCAGTAATAAGAAATCAAGGATGACTAAAATCTCATGCGGACCCTCAAGAACCTTGCAACCAAGGGTATGAACAAGAAGTCGGGGGCATGGCTCAGTGAGCAGCCATGATGTATAGCCCACAGTTGTTTGGGGATCGTGGTAGAGGGAAGTGATGAGATGTTGCTGTACCACTTTCTGCTTTCTTCCTTCCCAGCTGCTTTTACTATCTTCATTTTTGTTTTGGGTGTGAACTGCTTAGCCTGTATCTGCTCAGGGACCCTCCAATCCTGCTGTCTCCTAAACCAATTCTAAGCAAATGTACCATGTTCACCTCCTACTTAGAAAGTTAGCGCTTTCTTTAGACAGTTGATTTCAAACACCACGTAGAGATGCCCTCAAGGCACAGAAGGTTTTCTCACTGGCCCAGCAAGCCAGAGGTGCTTTTCCAAGACTGCAGGAGCTGAGAAGCAGAGAGGGAGCCCCCGAAGCCCTTATTCAGTTGTTTGGAGGAGCAAGGAGCTGATATATATATATATATATATTGCATCCAAAAGCCAAGCTACCTGAGTACTGTCACTTGCCCAGGAGCTTTGATTAATTCGGCATTAAAATAAATAGCTGAATTGAAAGGGAATCCTATTTAGATGCTTGATAGCTATCTCTGGTTCTCCTCTGCAGTCACTCTAGGCATTTTTGGCTTCAGTCCTGAGTCTGAAGTTGATAGTCATGGATCAGAGTTTTCAACAAACAGTTAAAATCCTGCCTCCTTGATCAGGTTAGGATGCACTGACTAGATGGTTGATCGCATGTGCTTGCACCAGCTAAAGAGTGCCCATCTCTCTCCAGATCCCTTCCTGGGCCTCCTTCTCTTCTAAGTCTGAGCTGGTGCATCATATTGACTGTGAGGGTCTTGAGAAATGCAGTGGGGGGGGGTTCAAAAATGGTAGGGTAGGAGGGGCTTGGGGGAATGATCCCTTTTTCATAAGACCTGCTTGGTGATGATTCTTCACCGCAGTTTTATGGAGCAAAGGCATTTGGCCTCTGCAAATGCCCGGCATGTGCAAAGCAGGAGTGGCTGTCAAGTAAAGCACATGGGTTTCATTTGTTAGTGGAGTTCTACAATGTGTCAGGAAACCAAGCTCTTTCATGAAGAGACTCAAATCTTCACCATGGTGTGGAGGCCAGTACTTCTGGTCTTGCTCTATTTGTGGACTTGGAAAGCATCTTCGTGATCATAACTTCTTCAGATTTTATATTGCAGCTGTCTCTCAGCCTCTTCCTATTAGTGAGCTGTGCAAGCTCCATGGGAAGTGAACTGTGGTTCATCCCAAGACTGTGATTTCACATCAAGGATTCCCAGGAAGCCTTGAAAGAATGAGGATGAGATGAGGATGAGTGAAGGGGAAGATAGATCAAAAGATGGATGGATGGATGGATGGATGGATGGATGGATGGATGGATGGATGGATGGATGGATGGATCAATGGATGGATCGGTGGATGGATCAATGGATGGATAGATAAATGTTTTGGTGGGTATATACGTGAACTGATGTGAAGATGGATGGAAGCATAGATTGTTAGATGGATGGTAGAATTGAAAAGATGTATTGAAAAGTGGATAAATAAGTAGATGAGTAGTTGGATGGGTGGATAAGTGAGTAAGCAGATAGATGAACAGATTGGTGGATGAATTGGTGGTTAAATAAATGGATGAAAGAGTAGATGTATCAGTGGCTGAATGAATGGACACATCACTACACAGAGAAGCAAATAATTGAATAGACAGAAATAAGGTAAAACCAATGAATGGGATACTGGTTTGCTGAGCAAACAGTGAAATAAATGATTCATGATGGAGTGAGTCCACAGTCTTAAATTCATTGCACTGGAAGTCCTCATGTTTGCAGATCCCATTGGTGACAAAAAAAGCCAAAGCATAGTTTAATGGTAGAAAATAGACACATTCTGTACTAGGGATCAAACATGTGGAACGCAACTTTGGCTGCTTAGAAGCAAGACAAAATGTTGGAACTCCTTTCCTTTGAGCCATAAAATCAATAGATATTTTGTCAGCAAACTTAAAAGGAATTTGGAAAGCAAAACTAAACAACAAAAAAAGCACTGCAGCTTACTGCTGAAAAAAAAAATACTTAAAAGGTTAAAATACCTGTCTTCACTGCTAACCTCTTTCCAAATTGCATGTGCATGCTCACTCCTCCTTCTTTCCCTCCTTCCCTCCTTCCCTCCTTCCCTTCCTCTCATCCCCTCTCTGTGAATATTCCTTCATACAAATGATTTTTGTCATTTTCATTATAGTCAACTTTTACCACTCGGTTTGCTGTGCAATTTCTCAGCCCCCCTGCCTTCTAATAGGCAATCCTATGTCACCCTAGGACAAAGTCAGCAGGTTTTAAGGGGTTTGAGTCTATCCTAGCCTGGCCCTTTGCTCTCATCCAGCCTTCCTATCCCTCTCTGTATCACTGGGCACCGGCTGCACAGATCACCTGTTGTTCTAGTCAAGAGAGTTGACCAGCAGTAAGAGGCTGCCACATACAACCCAATCACTTATCGATGTGTAGTCATGGTAACGGCTTCAACAAATTTATGTATGCTTTCTCATTTTAAATCTGGAATGTCTGTCCTCCAACCTGCTGGGGCAAGGAAGGCCACAAAACCATGGCTGATGAAGGCTTCCTCAATTCTCCACTTGTGGTCTGTCCAGAATTTTATGTCACAGAACACTCTCCTCTATACTTGAGAACCATGCAATTGATATACATAACATAAAACCATTGTAATATTTTAAGGACAAGGGGACACAGAGATTTTAAGAGTCAGAGGACCAGCGAGTTTGCCATGAGCCTGTAACTCCTAATAATATGAAAAGCTACACCCATAAAGTCTCAGCAAAACGACTGCCCAAACATGAGCTGAGCAAGGATGACATCAATGGACATACTAAAGTGGACAGGGAAAAGCCCACAAGGCCTCCACCCTACACAAAGAACTGCAGGCAGCTAAGGCAAGATGAGAGCAGGAGAGGCAGTCTCACTAACTGATTATCCAGTGCCAAGCTGTCAACCTTGAAAACATACATACAAGCAACTATATACAGGCTGAGCAAGCTATATTTAGGAATATATATGTATATGCACATACATGCATGCATACAATAACAATTATTGAAAAAACAGGCCATGAATTTGAAGGAGGGCATGAAGTGTACATAGGAAGGTTTAGAAGGAGGAAAGGGAAGGGAAAATGTTGCAATTACGTTATTTATAATCTCAAAAAATGAAATGAAAACAAGAAAATGTACAGCTTTTGCTTGTGCCTCATTCAGTTATACTCAGTTCCCTGTGGTCTGTGAACAGCAGATGGGATGTACCTGCATGTCCAGAGTCTCTCACTACTGCTATGTTAACAGCCCTGTGCTCTGAATTGACCCCTCATCACATGACAACATCATATGTAATATTAGTGTGATTTTCCTAACTCCCAACAATGGTGAGAGCCAAAATTCGGTGAACAGTTAGTATATGTTAGAATTTACTTTTAGAATCTTATAGATAAATGCATATAATCTATGTATGTATGTATGTATGTATGTATGTATGTATGTATGTGTGTGTGTACATGTGTACGTATGCATATATCCTCTAGTTGTAGATATTGCAGCGATTGAACCTGAGGTCTCATTTATGATAAGGAAGCATTCTACCACTAGAGCTAACTTTGTGTGCATGTGTGTGCATGTGTGTATATGTGTGTATGCACATGTATGTGTTTGTGTATGTGTGAGGAGTAAGTGCAGTATGTTTGTATAAATGTGCACAATTTCATATGTAGATGCACACACACAAGTCCATGAGTTGCCTTCACAGGGAAGAGGTTGATGCTTGATGTCTTCCTCTTCAGCTCTCTGCCAATTTTTTTTCTTTCTGAGACTGTCTCTCCCTGAGTCTAGACCTCATGGGTCCAGCAAGTCTATCTGTCCAGTAAGCCTCAAGGATCCTCCTGTTGCTGCCTCTTCCTGAGGTCAGGATTATGGGGTTAGGCTACCATGTTCAGCTGTTTTAAACGCTTGCTGGGGCTACAACTCAAGCAAGTGACGGCCATAAGCATTCCACAGATGAATTTCCAGTTATGAGTGCACCAACACCTCTACACTCACACCTGATTTGCGGTGTAGAGGTTGGTCCCATTTTATAGATGAGGAAAAGGAAGAGCAGAGGGGAAATCTCACATCCCAGAGCAGGCCTGGGCTTTTCTGTCAGGGTGTTCGGCACACACTAGGTGTTGGGTTCTCACTCATTAAGCAAATGTCAAGCCATTTGTTCTCCATCATTTCATCCTGAGCTGAGACTGGTGGCCGTCCTCACATATCATTTTTCTGTGTGATATTAAGCTGGCCTCTATGGATTCCTTGTTATTAAATTTCTCATCTTTCTTCACTTAGCAACTCATTCCCCCAGGACTTTTTATAATATTTTTAAAGCTGAAAATACAACATTATTTTTTTTGCATCTAGAAATCCCAGAGTCTCTTTAAGACTTTTTTTTATCTTCAGTCTGTGATATCTGTTCCTTAGAAGGTCTCCACTCTGTGACCTTTTCTCCAAAAGAGAGGCTGACAGTGCTCAGCTGGACAGAGGAGCATTCACAGCTGGCTCGGGCTTGCCTGGAAGCTTTGACTCACTTGGTTCACATGTCTGGTCTCCAAGAGAGTCTATCCTGGCTTCATCTCCATGAGTGTCCCACAGAGCACCTGGTATGGAATAGGTGTCCAGTGCCTGCTGGGTAAATGACCACGGTGACTTGCTACTGTCCCTCAGTGGCTCAAAACTTTGACATCATCTGCAAAGTGGGTTCAGTAAAAGGCTACATAAAATTCTGGGGAAACAGATAAGATAAGGCTCAAACTGAGCTCAGTCCATCACAAAGGATGTAGAATGTCTCCTGGGAAGATGGTTCGAACACAGCTCTACATTAAGCTGTGTTCAAGGTCAGAGACTGGATCCTGTAGAAGGTCTAACCTTAAACTTTGTCCCATTAAGTCTTAGTACCTGTCTTGGCTTCTTATCCTGCTGCTGCAATAAAACACCCTGACAAAAATAACCTAAGGGAGAAATGGTTCATCCTGACTCGCAGTTCAAAGTCAGATCATGGCGGGGAAGTCAAGTCAGGTGGAGCTCATGGCAGCCACAGCAAGGAAGCAGAGGGCAACAAGAAAGC